GGAAGAGAAGAAGTAGCTACCAGAGAGAAAGAAACGGCTACACGGGAAGGAGCACGTCCAAAGGAACTAGGGGCACGCCCAAAGGAATACAGAACAGCATCAAGAGAAAAGAAAGCAACAGTACAAATGGCCGGTGGTATATTGTCGCTTGATGATTTATATCCTGACTACACATTCAGTGTTACAAAAGACGCAAAGAAGGAGCCAAAGCATCCCCCTCAATTGGAGCGGGAATTATCCCTACCCCTCCAGACCCAACCTTCGCTTGGAGGTGTGAATGACTGGAGGAGGAGGCCCTTATCTCAGCACGCGAAAGATTACTCACTACCTCCACCCGCGGGGTATCGCGAACGACGCAGGAGTCCATCCCCATGGCGTGAATGGCATAGAAGTCCATCTCCGCGGCGTGAACGGCGCAGAAGTCCATCTCCGCGGCGTGAACGGCGTAGGAGTCCATCCCCACGGTATGAACGGCGTAGAAATCCATCTCCACAGCGTGAACAATATAGAAGCTTATCCCCACGGCATGCCCAGTCTCTACCTCCACATGAGAGATATAGGGAGGAAGCGGGAGCAGTCCCACGTAGGAGTGGAAGAGTAAAGAGAGAGGTGGAAAAGATTCTACGTGGGAGAGATGGACAAGAAATAATGCGAGAAAGCGAAATTACACAATCACTGACCACAAGAGAGCTTCGAGATTTACGGAGAGATTATATGCGCTTGCCTGGTGAAGAAGTCCTCACCTGGCTGGTGCGATGCTGGGACAAGGGAGCTGATAGTCATGTAATTGAAGGTGATGAAGCACGACAATTGGGATCCATTGCTCGAGACCCTGTGATAGAACAAGAAATGGGGAGGGAGAAAATGGCATCCAGCCTTTGGCTCCGAATCCTCCACGCGGTGAGAGTGAAATACCCATTTAAGGAGTCCCTGAAGAGTTCTTCAAAAAGGTGGAGGACCGCAGAAGAAGGCATCCAATACCTACGGGAATTGGCCATGCTGGAGATCATCTATTCTGATCCAGATTATTATGACGTCCAAGTTCCTGAGAATGTTCCCTGCACGCAACCAATGTGGAAAAAGGTAATTCAAGGTGCCCCTAAACCATATATTTCTTGCTTGATACCCGTATATAATCCAAAGATGGAGGAACCAAGCGTGGACACTATGTGTGCTTGGATAAGAACCATAGAGGAAAATATGGAAGACTCCTTCAATCCCCTGTACCAACGCACCTACGATAGGGAAAGAATGGAGAGAGATTATGAATATTCCAGATATGAGGATGACCTTAGAGACAGAGAGGACAGAAGGTATAGAGATTACCAAGAAAGGCCAATGGGAAGATCACAGTGGGACCGGCAAAGACGACCTCGGCCTAGACCTCGATCCTGGTCTCGATCTCGCTCACGGTCCCTGTCATTCACGCGTCGAAGGAAAGAGAACTCTAAGCGTTGGTCACGTAACCAACTATGGGCATACCTTCGTAGTAAAGGAGAAAACATGAAGAAGTGGGATGGTGAACCCACTTCTAAGCTTGAAGCTAGAGTGAGGGAGCTGAAGCGAAAGAAGACTGACAAGAAAGTTGTCTATGTAGTAGACGGAGACTTCTTAGAAGAGAAACTGCGATTGCCAAAACACGAGAAGATGGAGGTCCACTTCGACAACAGCAAAAAGTCTAAGAAGTCAAAGTCAAACTCTGACGACGAATGTTCTGATCAAGACCAGTAGAGGGGCCCTGCCTTCTGCCAGGAGAAGGAGAGGGACCAAGAAGATAATCGAGTTTACTGGGCTGTGTGGGTTCGATGGCCTGGCACATCGGATCCACAGAGATACCAGGCCTTGATAGATACTGGAGCCCAGTGTACTGTAATGCCTTCGGAGTATAAGAGTACCGAGACTGTTACTATTTCTGGAGTGACCGGAGGGTCTCAAGAATTGTCAGTAGTAGAGGCGGACATGAGCTTGACGGGAGATCAATGGGAAAAGCGTCCCATTGTGACGGGGCCAGAAGCCCCTTGCATCCTTGGTATGGACTACCTAAGAAGAGGATACTTCAAGGACCCAAAAGGGTACCGGTGGGCTTTTGGTATAGCCTCGGTGATTGAAGAGGAGTCCAAGCAATTGTCTGCCCTTCCTGGCCTCTCAGAAGACCCTTCCATTGTAGGATTACAATGTGTGGCCAATAGCCACAACAACTGTACACAGACGACAGTATCGGACAAACCGAGATGCTGTGATCCCTATCCACAAAATGATCCGAAAGTTGGAGAGCCAAGGGGTGGTCAGCAGAACCCATTCACCCTTCAACAGCCCCATCTGGCCTGTGCGTAAATCTGATGGAGAGTGGAGACTGACTGTGGACTATCGTGGCTTAAATGAAGTTACGCCACCGTTGAGTGCTGCCGTACCAGATATGTTGGAGCTCCAATACGAGTTGGAGTCCAAGACAGCAAAGTGGTACGCCACCATCGACATAGCCAACGCGTTTTTCTCCATTCCTTTAGCGGCAGAGTGCAGGCCACAGTTTGCTTTCACCTGGAGGGGCGTTCAATACACCTGGAATCGACTGCCCCAGGGGTGGAAACACAGTCCAACCATCTGTCATGGACTGATCCAGGTCACACTAGAGAAGGGTAAGGCTCCCGAACACATCCAGTACATCGATGACATCATTGTATGGGGGGACACAGCAGAAGAAGTTTTCAAAAAAGGACAGACGATCATCCAGATTCTCCTCGATGCTGGTTTCGCCATCAAGAAGAGCAAGGTCAAGGGACCTGCCCGAGAGATCCAATTCCTAGGGGTGAAATGGCAAGATGGACGACGTCAGATACCAACAGACGTAATCAACAAGATTGTAGCAATGGCTCCGCCCACAAACAAGAAAGAGACCCAAGCTTTTCTGGGAGCAATAGGCTTTTGGAGGATGCACATCCCAGAGTACAGTCAGATTGTGAGCCCTCTTTACTTTGTGACCCGTAAAAAGAACAATTTCCAATGGGGTCCTGAACAACAACAAGCTTTCAGGCAAATCAAGCAAGAAATTGCACATGCCGTGGCTCTTGGACCAGTCAGAACGGGACCAGATGTAAAGAATGTGCTCTACACCGCAGCTGGAGACAAAGGTCCCTCCTGGAGCCTCTGGCAAAAGGTGCCTGGCGAGACAAGAGGGCGACCATTGGGTTTCTGGAGCCGAAGCTACAGAGGTTCTGAGGCCAATTACACCCCTGTGGAGAAGGAAATCTTAGCAGCCTATGAAGGCATACGAGCAGCTTCAGAGGTAATTGGTACTGAAGCACAGCTCTTCCTGGCACCCCGATTACCAGTGTTGAGCTGGATGTTCAAAGGGAAGGTGCCCCCTACGCATCATGCCACCGACGCCACGTGGAGCAAGTGGATCGCTTTGATTACGCAACGTGTCCGAATCGGGAACTCGAATCGCCCTGGCATTTTGGAAATCATAACCAATTGGCCTGAAGGTGGGAACTTCAGTCTGGTAGAAGAAGAAGAAGAGCCAGTGAGTCGAGCTGAAGAGGCTCTGCCATATGATAAGCTGCCAGATGAAGAAAGACGCTATGCCCTTTTCACCGATGGTTCCTGCCGTATTGTAGGGAGGAGCCGGAAGTGGAAAGCAGCTGTTTGGAGTCCCACCCGACAAGTGTCGGAAGCCACTGAAGGTAAAGGCGAATCGAGTCAGTTTGCGGAACTCAAAGCGGTCCAATTGGCCCTAGATATTGCAGAGAGAGAAGGATGGCCAAGGCTCTACCTGTACACCGATTCGTGGATGATAGCCAATGCCCTATGGGGATGGCTAGACCGGTGGAAAAAGATGAATTGGAGGCGTAGAGGGAAACCCATCTGGGCTGCTGATCTGTGGCAAGACATCGCTGCCAGAGTGAAGAAACTAAATGTAAGAGTCCGCCATGTGGATGCCCATGTGTCCAAGAAGCGAGCTAATGAGGAACATGCTAATAACGAACAAGCAGACCGAGCTGCACAGGTCAAGGTCTCGCAAGCAGACCTAGACTGGCAGCAGAAGGGAGAGTTGTTCCTAGCTCGATGGGCTCATGATGCTTCAGGTCATCAGGGCCGAGACGGCACTCATAGATGGGCACGAGACCGAGGGGTGGATTTAGCGAAAGATATTATCTCTCAGGTTATCCGTGACTGTGAAACCTGTGCTGCTATCAAACAGGCAAAAAGGTTTAAGCCCCTGTGGTATGGTGGACGTTGGGAGAAGTATAAGTATGGAGAGGCCTGGCAGGTTGATTACATCACATTGCCACAGACCCGCCAAGGTAAACGCTATGTGCTTACCATGGTGGAAGCAACCACCGGATGGTTGGAAACATATTCGGTACCGCATGCAACAGCCCGAAACACCATCCTAGGCCTTGAGAAGCAGGTCCTGTGGAGACATGGCACTCCAGAGCGAATTGAGTCAGACAACGGGACTCATTTCAAAAACAGTCTAGTGGCCACTTGGGCACAGGAGCATGGTATTGAATGGGTATATCACATTCCATATCATGCACCTGCTGCAGGAAAAGTAGAAAGGTGTAATGGACTGTTGAAGACGACTCTAAAGGCACTGGTGGGGGAACTTACAAAAATTGGGACAAGAATTTAGCCAAGGCCACCTGGCTAGTCAACACCCGAGGCTCTGTCAACCGAGCTGGTCCTGCCCAAGCAGAGTCCCTCCACACTGTAGATGGAGACAAAGTTCCAGCGATCCATCTAAAAGGTGTGTTAGGTAAGGCCATTTGGATCACTCCTCCCTCAGGCCAAGACAAACCCATTCGTGGGATTGTCTTTGCTCAAGGACCTGGATATACCTGGTGGGTCATGAGGAAGGATGGAGAGATCCAATGTGTGCCTCAAGGAAACCTAAGCCTGGGGAAAAACTAATTCTGTACCTTGAGTTGTATTTTACAGGAGACCAGACACCAGACGAAAAAAAAAAAAGATCCGAACAAAGCTGATACGAGAATCCAAGGATGGCCGATGATGACACAGCCCAAACCAATGAGCCAGCCCTAAACCGGAACTGTGATTATGACGAAAGGGCCAAGAACACAAATCGAGTTGCTGGTGGTGCTGATCTTCAATGACAGACGACAGCCTTCGAGAAAAAATAAACATGGACTATATATGTATATGTGTATATGTGCGGGATAGAGACGAACACAATATACAGGTGTTGCGTAAAGAAATAGTATGGAATAAGGGGTGGAGAATGTGGTGGTTTCAGTCTAGGCCTTCCTGGAAACCAGCTTGTAACCAGGAAGGAACTAGGAAGGTGACCAAGGAAGTATTCCATGCTATTCCTTTACGTAACCTAGGGTATAAATAAGGCATGGATAAGATAGTTCGCTCTCTTCCTTTCCGGCGAGGTTCGAGAACGGTGGGTCCCTGTTTCGGTCGGGCTTATCTGGAGCCGAGGCCTACAGTGACTGCTGTTATCTGCCACCCGTGAGGGGAGAGCCAAGGGCCGTGTCTAGCCATCCTGCCTGTTCGAAGGGAAGTGGTGAGATTTTTGCTAATTTGCCTTCGGCTGGTTGTTTGACTTGTGCGGTCCTTGCCCCTTTTTGTCCTTCTCCCTTCCCTTCCCCCCTTCCCCCCCCCCCCCGGTGTGTGGTATTCTCCTTTTGTGTATCTGTCTCATATATAAAACATATATATATATATATATATATACATATTTTTGCTATAGCTTTGGCTGCTTGTTTCTGTTTTCTCTTTTCCCTCTCTGGGAGGCGGGTCCTCGTTGTCGAGTTTCGGGGGACTTGGCGGGAAGCCAGCTCGAAACTTGCACAACATTCTTGGTGTCAGAAGTGGGATATTTTGGTTAAGTTTGGCTTGTTTTGATAAACATTTTCCGGGAAGACAGCCAAGTTCGGTGTTGTTTTGCAACCAATCTATTGTTTTGGGAACAGGTCTGGGAAAGCAGCCAAGGAAGCTTTGTTTATATAAACAAAGGGTTGTTTTAAGAACAAGAAGAAATAATAACAAAAACAATGGCTATTTCAATAATTTGTCTTATAATTCTAGCCATCTTTACACCTGTGTTAGGCTACTCTATAGGGAGACGTCCAGACCTTGAGGATGGATGGAACGAATTGCTTCCATCCTTTAATTTTGACATCGAAGGCTTGGTAAAGGAGATCCCCATGGTTAAAATCGGCTCTAATTACTATATAAATCTTATTGCAACAGTACTGTCATTGATAAAGGTACTGGAAGTGCTCCTTAAACTTGGAAGAATGGGGTTCCGTTGCTTTCCCTCTTGTAGGAAAGATCACACCTCAAAGGGACTCGCTGGAACTTTGGAAAGGGCTGCAGACAGGCCAGTCCCCGGGTGGCATGGAGCTTGGGGAGATTTCGGTAGATTAGTAGGACATGTGTCACCCCCCATTAACTGGGAGTTCACACCAGAACAAATGTTTGATTCTGGTGAGATGGCCCACTGTTTGGCAGAAGGGTGTTTTTCCTACAAAGATCCAAATATGCAATTCTCCGCTTTGTGCTGGGGCCTGGCTAATGCTTATCGAGCTGCCATAGACCACCTTCAAAGGGTTAAGGTCGACACAGAGACCCAAACCACGCCACTTGAAACCAGTGATGTCCCTATTAGGTCTACAGATGTTGGGGTCCAAACACAACTTGAAGTCAATGCCATTTCTACTAAGTCCACTAGAACCGGGACTCAAGCTAAGAACCGGAAGGTCATCATTGCCCCTATGGAGAAGAAGAAGACGTGGGTAAGGGAGATCAAGGAACTTACGGATCCATCTCCGCAACCAGAACGCACAGAAGAAAGGGAAGAAGAAGAAGAAGAAGAAGAAGGAACAGAGGATGTAGTAGATGAAAGAGCGGCAGCAATGGGAGAAGGAGCAACAGCAAGTGATGAAGGCGCGACTGCGAGAGAGGAAGAAGTGGTTGTGACTGAGGAAGGAGCGATTGGAAGAGAAGAAGTAGCTACCAGAGAGAAAGAAACGGCTACACGGGAAGGAGCACGTCCAAAGGAACTAGGGGCACGCCCAAAGGAATACAGAATAGCATCAAGAGAAAAGAAAGCAACAGTACAAATGGCCGGTGGTATATTGTCGCTTGATGATTTATATCCTGACTACACATTCAGTGTTACAAAAGACGCAAAGAAGGAGCCAAAGCATCCCCCTCAATTGGAGCGGGAATTATCCCTACCCCTCCAGACCCAACCTTCGCTTGGAGGTGTGAATGACTGGAGGAGGAGGCCCTTATCTCAGCACGCGAAAGATTACTCACTACCTCCACCCACGGGGTATCGCGAACGACGCAGGAGTCCATCCCCATGGCGTGAATGGCATAGAAGTCCATCTCCGCGGCGTGAACGGCGCAGAAGTCCATCTCCGCGGCGTGAACGGCGTAGGAGTCCATCCCCACGGTATGAACGGCGTAGAAATCCATCTCCACAGCGTGAACAATATAGAAGCTTATCCCCACGGCATGCCCAGTCTCTACCTCCACATGAGAGATATAGGGAGGAAGCGGGAGCAGTCCCACGTAGGAGTGGAAGAGTAAAGAGAGAAGTGGAAAAGATTCTACGTGGGAGAGATGGACAAGAAATAATGCGAGAAAGCGAAATTACACAATCACTGACCACAAGAGAGCTTCGAGATTTACGGAGAGATTATATGCGTTTGCCTGGTGAAGAAGTCCTCACCTGGCTGGTGCGATGCTGGGACAAGGGAGCTGATAGTCATGTAATTGAAGGTGATGAAGCACGACAATTGGGATCCATTGCTCGAGACCCTGTGATAGAACAAGAAATGGGGAGGGAGAAAATGGCATCCAGCCTTTGGCTCCGAATCCTCCACGCGGTGAGAGTGAAATACCCATTTAAGGAGTCCCTGAAGAGTTCTTCAAGAAGGTGGAGGACTGCAGAAGAAGGCATCCAATACCTACGGGAATTGGCCATGCTGGAGATCATCTATTCTGATCCAGATTATTATGACGTCCAAGTTCCTGAGAATGTTCCCTGCACGCAACCAATGTGGAAAAAGGTAATTCAAGGTGCCCCTAAACCATATATTTCTTGCTTGATACCCGTATATAATCCAAAGATGGAGGAACCAAGCGTGGACACTATGTGTGCTTGGATAAGAACCATAGAGGAAAATATGGAAGACTCCTTCAATCCCCTGTACCAACGCACCTACGATAGGGAAAGAATGGAGAGAGATTATGAATATTCCAGATATGAGGATGACCTTAGAGACAGAGAGGACAGAAGGTATAGAGATTACCAAGAAAAGCCAATGGGAAGATCACGGTGGGACCGGCAAAGACGACCTCGGCCTAGACCTCGATCCTGGTCTCGATCTCGCTCACGGTCCCTGTCATTCACGCGTCGAAGGAAAGAGAACTCTAAGCGTTGGTCACGTAACCAACTATGGGCATACCTTCGTAGTAAAGGAGAAAACATGAAGAAGTGGGATGGTGAACCCACTTCTAAGCTTGAAGCTAGAGTGAGGGAGCTGAAGCGAAAGAAGACTGACAAGAAAGTTGTCTATGTAGTAGACGGAGACTTCTTAGAAGAGAAACTGCGATTGCCAAAACACGAGAAGATGGAGGTCCACTTCGACAACAGCAAAAAGTCTAAGAAGTCAAAGTCAAACTCTGACGACGAATGTTCTGATCAAGACCAGTAGAGGGGCCCTGCCTTCTGCCAGGAGAAGGAGAGGGACCAAGAAGATAATTGAGTTTACTGGGCTGTGTGGGTTCGATGGCCTGGCACATCGGATCCACAGAGATACCAGGCCTTGATAGATACTGGAGCCCAGTGTACTGTAATGCCTTCGGAGTATAAGAGTACCGAGACTGTTACTATTTCTGGAGTGACCGGAGGGCCTCAAGAATTGTCAGTAGTAGAGGCGGACATGAGCTTGACGGGAGATCAATGGGAAAAGCGTCCCATTGTGACGGGGCCAGAAGCCCCTTGCATCCTTGGTATGGACTACCTAAGAAGAGGATACTTCAAGGACCCAAAAGGGTACCGGTGGGCTTTTGGTATAGCCTCGGTGATTGAAGAGGAGTCCAAGCAATTGTCTGCCCTTCCTGGCCTCTCAGAAGACCCTTCCATTGTAGGATTACAATGTGTGGCCAATAGCCACAACAACTGTACACAGACGACAGTATCGGACAAACCGAGATGCTGTGATCCCTATCCACAAAATGATCCGAAAGTTGGAGAGCCAAGGGGTGGTCAGCAGAACCCATTCACCCTTCAACAGCCCCATCTGGCCTGTGCGTAAATCCGATGGAGAGTGGAGACTGACTGTGGACTATCGTGGCTTAAATGAAGTTACGCCACCGTTGAGTGCTGCCGTACCAGATATGTTGGAGCTCCAATACAAGTTGGAGTCCAAGACAGCAAAGTGGTACGCCACCATCGACATAGCCAACGCGTTTTTCTCCATTCCTTTAGCGGCAGAGTGCAGGCCACAGTTTGCTTTCACCTGGAGGGGCGTTCAATACACCTGGAATCGACTGCCCCAGGGGTGGAAACACAGTCCAACCATCTGTCATGGATTGATCCAGGTCACACTAGAGAAGGGTAAGGCTCCCGAACACATCCAGTACATCGATGACATCATTGTATGGGGGGACACAGCAGAAGAAGTTTTCAAAAAAGGACGGACGATCATCCAGATTCTCCTCGATGCTGGTTTCGCCGTCAAGAAGAGCAAGGTCAAGGGACCTGCCCGAGAGATCCAATTCCTGGGGGTGAAATGGCAAGATGGACGACGTCAGATACCAACAGACGTAATCAACAAGATTGTAGCAATGGCTCCGCCCACAAACAAGAAAGAGACCCAAGCTTTTCTGGGAGCAATAGGCTTTTGGAGGATGCACATCCCAGAGTACAGTCAGATTGTGAGCCCTCTTTACTTTGTGACCCTTAAAAAGAACAATTTCCAATGGGGTCCTGAACAACAACAAGCTTTCAGGCAAATCAAGCAAGAAATTGCACATGCCGTGGCTCTTGGACCAGTCAGAACGGGACCAGATGTAAAGAATGTGCTCTACACTGCAGCTGGAGATAAAGGTCCCTCCTGGAGCCTCTGGCAAAAGGTGCCTGGCGAGACAAGAGGGCGGCCATTGGGTTTCTGGAGCCGAAGCTACAGAGGTTCTGAGGCCAATTACACCCCTGTGGAGAAGGAAATCTTAGCAGCCTATGAAGGCATA